CAAGAGATTATATCTGTGGCTTAGTGAAAGATGTGCCAGAGTAAATATTTATTAAATTAAGATATTTGCCTTTATACATTCTGTTCAAATTACACATTTTAATAAAAACGTTGTATGATGTTTCTCACGTTTCAAATTTTGTTTATTTGAATTCAATACTAAAGTACCTACACACATTTCTGTTATTGTTTTTCTTAATATAATATTTTAAAATATTTTTAATATAATTATTCTTATAATATATTTTTCATAATTTAATGTAGGTGTCATTATGACCATTTCTAATTACTGTAGGATAACGATAAATTATTGTACACAATATACAAAATTATTTATGACCATAAAACTACTCTTAACTCATTTTGGCACTTCTTGCACCAAGCCACAGTATGTCTCTGCAATTCAGGAGAAACAAATCTTAATGACCATATAAAAATCTTGGAACACTTTTATACAAGGTGTACACTAAAAGTTTTGCACAGAGCCATCTAGCGGATGTTACTCGACTTCGTAAATTTTGACATCTTAATGATAAACAAGATTGACTGATTAAAAATCCATCGCGTGGTTTAGCAGCAACAAATTTTTGAAAACAATCAATTTCGTGCGATGATTTTAAACGATTTTAAAGCATTAACTGTTCACAAATGGTTTAAAAAATTCAAACGTGGATTCATCAGCTACAATGACGATTTCCGTGAAGGCCATCCGGTCACAGCTTGCTGTTGTCCCAGTGCGAGACATCATCAGGCAGATCGACATGTTACCTATCATGAGATTCGTGATTTATTGAGCATAGGCATGAGTTAAATACAAACAATTTGCATGACTATTTGGCAGTGAAAAAGATGTGCAGTCGTTGAATTATTACTCATAATCCAATTTGGAGATATCTCATAAGAAGGCGCGTGTTAATTGGTGCCACGTCACACACTCAATCGATTCAACGGAGGTAGCTCAAATTTGGTATGGAACATCATGACTGGTAATGAAACATGGATATATGGCTATGAGCCAGAAACGAAAAACTATTCAAAGTCAACAAAACTAGTCTGCCCTGGCAAACACATGTTTGCGAGTTTTTTCAAAAAAAAAAAGAGACATGTTGCCACGATTTCGTTAGTAAATGGGAGAATCGTCAATGTTAAATGGTATCCAACAATTTTTTTGCCAGAAGTGAATGATGAATTCCGCAAAAACAACCGGAACTGTCGTATCCTTTTGTATCAGCGACTCGTATAACATCCGATATTCATTTGTTCGAATGCAAAAGTGTATTGGTCTTAAAGTCGAATCCAAAACTTCTATTATTTGTGCAAAACTTTTAGTATACACCTTATAGTGTCGCGTTTGTGATAGATATTCTGGACAAAGCTGAAATTGTTTAACAATTATTCAGCTTTTTTGCATGTATGTGTTTGTAAAAATATTATCAATATTTTTAATCCAAAACAGTTGAATTCGTATTATATGTTCTGATTATATAAATATATTACATAAATCAATTTTCTTAGATTCATACTCCACAATCTGTTTTGTTTTGAAGATATTCATATTATGTCTTTCTCTAGTTTTTAACGATCTACGTAGTAAATATAGTTAATATTATTCACTTTTATAGTGGATTATCTTTATTCTGTATTACATATTCGTAAGTGTACGCATTGTTTGGTATATTTCCTGGTGTTCATCTGTTTTTAACAAGAACTAGCACATGTTCAGTGAAAGTGGCTACAAGAACAACATCATTCAGAATGCAGAACAGCGAAAACAAAAATATCCTATCGAATTTAAGTCAAAAGACTTTTAGCATATATGATCAGTAGAACATTAAGAAATGCGAAGGACATTTTTCCACTGGAAAATCTACAGAAGTCTACAGTGTATCCTGTGGAATTTAACCTAAAACATGAAGTCGACAAATCTCGCGTCAGATTAGATAAACACAAATTAAATCTAATGAACAAGAAAGTCTTATCAGCCTTATTCACACATGAACATACCACACGCACACATTTTTCTTCTTAGCCTCTCCATTTTTTAGACATAGGCCTTTTCCAATTCCTTACATCGATCTCTTTCCTGAGCAACATAGTTCCCATTTTTTTGGTGTCATCTATCCATCTGATTTGTGGTCTTCCTCTTGGTCGTCTACCTTCGTAAGGTAATGTTGTATGGTGGCGTTCCAACGTTGGTCTTTTTGTCTAGCAGTGTGGCCTGCGAAGCTTCATTTGTGCTTGGCCACTTTTGTTGTGATATCCTCGACTTTTGGTTTTGATCTTACCCAGTTGTTCATCTGACACTCGTATACATAACATTGCTCTTTCCATTTCCCTTTCTGTTTTAGCTAGTGTGTTCATATTTACCTTAGTTGGTGTACAGGTTTGACACCCTTATGTCATGATAGGGGTTGAACACATTGCTGGTATGAGTATTGAGGTATTTTGCGGTTCTTAAGTATCCAACATAGTTTTCAACTCCTACCCATACAGGTTTTGCTCTTCTAGTGATTTCCGCATTCCCAGACGTTATACGTCTAGGAACATCCGTTTTTGTCATATTTGTAGTTTATATTTGATTTTGATGACAAGCCGTTTTGTCAAACTCCTCTCTTAATTGGAATGTGATTTATATTTTCGTTTATTTGTACTATGATAGTTGCGTTTTCATATGTATTAGTTGCTTATATCTCGAATCTATTCGACAATTATTAATAGCTTGTTCTATGGTCGACATTTTGATACAGTTAAATGCCTTTTCATAGTCTACGAAGGCAAGAAATACAGGTAGTTGGTATTCATATGTTCTCACTGTCATCAGTTGGTCTGATGTACTGTATGGAAGCTAGCCTGTTCTACTAGTTGGTAATTATCCAGTTTTGTAAGTCAACCTGTTGTTAATAATTCTCATAAACAGTTTGTACACTTGACTGAGCAACGATATAGATCTACAATTAAAAGAGAAATCATACGATTTCCTACCTGACGAAACTGAATTCAATCACTCAATTTATCAAGCTGTTTGCTTTGCAAGTTTTAGAAGGCACAGTGGTAAAAATTTGAATTCAGTTTCGCCAGGTAGGAAATCGTATAATTTCTCTTGTTGTTATTAGATGCCGTTGTTACGTCCGTAAATAGTTATTTCGATAATTATTGGCCTCCGAAGGGATAAATTTTGTTTCGATTCAGAGTGGCATATATACCGCTCTGATAAGACCTAAAGAGGACGAAATACGTATAAGCGGCTTGCCGCTGACCTGTATCGAAACAAAAATCTAATACCGTCATTATGTTAGATCTATAATTCTTTAGGTAACATGTGCCTCCTTTTTTGTGTGGTAGTACATATTACTAGACTCTCCTAGTCTTTAGGAATATTGCTAGTATGAAGACATCTATTAAATAGATCTGTTAGTATTGTTATTGTCTTGTTCGTTTTCAAAAGCTCGGCAGTTATACCGTAGTGTCCTGGAGCTTTATTATTTTTTAGCTCTTTTAAAGCTCTTTCTATTTTGAATCCCTCTATATTTGGTAGTAATTCTGATCCCACGTTTTTTATTGTTCTTTTCCATGTTGTCTTTTATTGGTTCACTAGGCTGGCTTTGTGAGCTATACAAGGTAATTTACTATGTTTGTTGGGAATAAGCCACAATTTTAGTTTAAAATTAAATTTATAATTTCGATTTCCATTAAAATACATGGCTTTAAAATGATATTACCAATATTCTTGGGTTGCGTTCCTGGGACGACTTTATTGTAACGATTTGTAGAAGTATTCAACTATCTTTGTTATTTTGTATTTGTCATTCTCTTCCTTATTATTGGTAATTTTGATAATTTTCCAAACACGCAGAAAAAAGAACACACCTACACCCTAAATATTTTGTGTTGGTATCATGTGACGTCACAGGCTATGTCGCCGATGACGTGCATCGTTATATAAATTAGATGAAGTGTATTCGACTTCGAACTTTTAGCCGGGTATACCAGTTTTTTTTATAGACCTTAACTTATTATTAAAACTCGTTCTATTTCAAAACTTAACACGTTGCGTTAACGTCAGTGATTATAATTTCATTCCGATATGGCTCAAAAGTTCAACGAAATTAAGCAGCAATTAGATGTAGCTTTGCGCGATAATTCTAAACCCTGGACCCCTATTCTATCAGCTGCAGAACAAAAAACTGGCCTAGATAGGGTTTATCTAGCTTTAGGAGCTGCTGCGTTCTTGGGCATTTGGCTAGTGTTCGGATATTTTGCTCAACTAATCTGCAACTCATTAGGTTTCCTGTATCCGGCCTACGTTTCGATAAAGGCGATCGAATCGAAAGAAAAAGATGATGATACAAAATGGTTGACTTATTGGGTTGTTTTCTCCTTATTTTCCGTTACCGAATACTTTGTAGATATTATTGTCAGGTGGTTCCCTCTATACTGCTGATAAAGTGCATTTTTATGGTATGGCTTATGCTTCCTGGAGATGTCAATGGCTCAGTAATCCTCTACCGTAGAGTAATCAAGCCTTATTTCTTGAAACACCAAGGTGAAATCGACGGGGTCGTTAACAAAGTAAAGAATACAGTTAAAGACACAGTTAACAAAGTGTCAGAAAAAGCAGAGTGAAAATAGCCAACATCGAAAGGTCTGAAATTTTTTCCATTGATGGAATGTTTTATTTATATAAACTGGATATTATTCATATTCTAAGATATTTATATAAGCCAAGTACTTTATTGGTATTGTTGTGATTATATATAATCTCATATGTATAGTATTAATTTTTAAGAATTATATATGTTATACCTACTTAGTTTTAGTAAATTATATATTAGTATCGAAATACTAGATGAAAAACAGTTATGAATCTAAGAAAGCGTACAATTTCCTATTTGTATATTCAAATCGATACCTCTTATGATTTTAATTCTGTACTAAGAGCAATAGGTAACTTTTATATAATTGAATGATTTTGGAAAATAAGTAAACAGAAACCAGTTATTTAAATCAAAATATGCAAAATTTATTTGGTCTTAAATGATAAGCAGGTACAACAGTTAACTAAAAACAAACAAATAACTTACTAACTTATCCCCATGTAACACTTTTCATAACACTATTTGAAAATGTTTTAAGGGTAAAAAAACATTAAGCCGACTTCAAAGCTTAATAAATGTAGTAACAAAATAATTAACATTAAGTTAAGATAAATCAATACATTTTATATCACAATTTTGTATTTTTCAGATTAAAAAAAAAACAATGAGTATATTACTCACCAACTACGATAAACCAGCGCAGATCCTCATTATCGCATCGCTTCAACCCGATCAGTACACGATACAGAAATATCATTTATCAACAGCTTCTCGGCAACATTCGAAAATACTCAAAATTCGCGGTGTTGGTGTTGTTAATCGTCAAATAGGAAAAAACCAAAATAGAAAAAACAAACACCGCATAAACTATATATGTAATATATATAATAATCAGCAGCTAAGAAGAACCAACACCGTGAACCTTTTTCACAAAAGTGAGAAAGCACTGTTTGCTAAACAAAGTTTGGTCCTTTCGATATTAACAGTTTCTTTAAAATGGTTAACAATATATACATAACATTGCATTAATTAATTTTAGCTGCAAAATAATATATTTACAGAAAATAAATGGCTAAACAAATTTATGCCCAATTATTTGAAACAATTTTTTGTCTTTCTGATTTTTATTTCATTGACATATTTTTTGGAATAGATATCGGTATTTTACTTGTACATTTAGATAAATCTGGGAACATGCATTCTCTCTATATGAAACATGAGAAATATCGACTATATACTCTAACTTATGAAATAAGCTAATATGTTCGAAAAATAAAGAGAAGACATTACCAAGGAGCGTAAATATGTTACTAAATAACACTGGGTTCAACAGATTATACAAAAGAAATATTTAGTAGATCTGTCTAAGAGTAGATTCTTTCAAACTAATTTTGAAGAGATGCGAAGTTTGAAGATTTAGAACCAATTATACGATTTGATGTAGAGAACTTAATGATGTTTGGTTGCTATTAACGATAATTTAATTATTTATTATTTTAAATATTGTGATGCATTGATTTGTTTGAAAGCAAACTAATGATAAGTGAGACATTTAGTGTTACAAGAAAAATAGACATTGCCAATGTATATGTGACATACGCATTATGTTTACATATTTATATTATTATACTTAACATATAAAAACATTTTCAAATAGAATTATTTCTTTGGCCTGCCTCTTGAAAATCGAATGGCAGGATGACATAAACAACCACCAATATTAGAAAAAAACTATCTTAATAAAACCTTTTTCTACTCTTCTCTTGTTGTTTCTGGTAAAACATTATTCCCAAGACTATACACGTTACTATTGCTATGCTACCTAGGAGCATTAAGAAGAACAATTTGACACCAGACATACCGGATGGTTTGGGATCATCAACATGATCTCTGGGTGCTTCAAAATAGCTAGCTGATGGGATGATTTTTGATCTGTCTTCACCAGTATCCTCCTAAAATGAATAATTTTTAAAAATATGTCCAAATCACTCAATAACACCTGACAGTTTTTGTTTCAACTTAACACATTTGTATTAATTGAATTATACCACAGAATAAATAACAATCAGAATGCCTACTCTTAGATGCCGATTTTGAAGTTTGTCAGCACATGAATGCCATGTTTTAGACGAAAACATATACTCGAATTGAGAAATTTGTGACAAGCTACGACAGAACTGTAATTTAAATTTTTAGGGATTAATAATTTGGTACATTTGAAATAATTTAATCTATTCTTCAACTAAAAGTATGAATAAAATAGTGCATATTGTGTCTGTAGTTGCCGTAAATAAATTAAACCAGGTTAATTTGTCTATGCACACCAGATAAAATGTCACTGAACAGCACTGGTTCCGTTTAAAACATGGCTGATTGCGTCTGCGCGTACTTATTTTTTCAAGCAGAGTGGGCATTCTGATTGTTTATTATTCTGTGATTATACCAACTCATGTATAATAGACACAGAATTTCGTTGGAACATCGATTATAGCGAGAATAACAATGCAAATAGGCAATGAGTTAGAAAAAAAACTTGAATTGTCAGATACATATGAACAGTAGCGTACATATTATACCCAGTATAAAATTAAATTTGAGTTAATAAAAAGCAGTTTAATTAAGTCTCAAGTCTTCAACTTCTGTAATAAAGTCCCATATAAAAGGCGGATTGCAAATTAGGTGTATAAAGAAGTTATTAATAAATATCTATATTTTCTAGTTAGTCACATACAGTAAATCAAATCAATGTGATTTGTTGATTCAATTACTCATACCTATAGAGAAAAGGTAGGTAATCCAAGACAGGATTTGGCACTGTCTTATGGAAGAATGTATATGTCATTGTGAAATGCTAATTTTTTTCAATTACTGGCCCGTATTTTCAGTACTATGTCTAGAGAGATTATTAATTTTTATCGCTTCAAATATGTATGAGTGTTTAAAAGACCCTTCTTCTTAAAAAAACTTTAATAAATTATGTTTGGTGCTATAACATTCCATGAACAAATACATTATCTTTTAAATCACTCCATTCAAGCACTAATTATACATAATTCCTCTTAAAATTTTATTGGTTTTCTGTTAAAAGTATTCTAAAGCTTATTATTTTCTCATGGGAACGAATATTTTAAACTAAAGTACTCATTCCCTTCCCAAAAATTGATTAGCTTGGCCCTAATTTATAAAAAGCCAATATCCGTTTTTATTTTTCAGTTGCCAGTGAATATTTGAATGTCAATATGCATTCAAATGTACATATTTTAGTTACCAACCACCCTTAGTAACATTTTTGCAGAAGAGGTAAAGATATCATATTTCAACATCTTCTGGGATATCTGTTTATCTCCCTTTAGGTCCACGGCCCTATTATCACAGGTCAACAAATTATTGTGAGTGAAAATTTTATAATGATGTTTTTTTTGTTAGGGACAGTAACTTTTATAATTTTTTTTTGTGGAAAGTTTATTTTTAGTTTTTTTAATGTTACTAAATTATGTAACAATATAATTTTGTAACGTTAATTTAAGTAAAACGGAAAATGGCCAATGATCTTCGTTCAGATTGTAGTCAAAGATGTAGTTTTCAAAGATTCATTTGATTTCTAATTTTTTGAGACATAAATAATTATGTTATTAATAATAAAGTTTTCATATAAATAATTTCCGTAATGAGTTTATTATTTAAATTATAGAAATGACTGAAATCTGTTTTAAAGTATAAGATTTTTAATGACAGTATGTGTCATTATGTTTTTTATTACTGCTTATTTTTATCCTGCTGCAATGAAATTCTCTGTCCCTCTTCTCCAAAGAGCACTAGATGGCACCTAATATTTTTCATAAAATATCTAAGAATGCACTGTCATGTAGAAATAATTTGCGACTTTCTACTTAAAAAAAAAGTATAAAATAATGTGTAAATAAAATAAGAAAAGGAATATCCACATCTCGTCAACCTGCCATTCTATTATATGTATTTTGTTATTTTCAGCTCCTCAGATAGAACTTGCAGGTCAAGACGAAATGAAGCATATCGTCGTGGTACTTGCAATAGGTCCTATGTCAAAAAAACCACTTTCTGGTTTATTAAACATACATGACATATTCAGTCAAATACACAACTCCAATAAGTCATATGTCAATGGGCCAATAAGAAAGATGGGTCGTGACTTCATTTAAGTAAATAAAATTTCAGATGAATTGATGAAGAATAAAGAATATGTAAAGATGGGAAGTTTTTTGTCCTTCCTGAAAAGTTACATGAAAATAACATACAGCCTATTGCAGGTACCATGACGATATATCCCTTTGTATATTGATGGTTAATTCAAAACTTTTCAGTAACTCACTGATTAGTGCAATGTACTTTAAATAGAAGCAAACCTAATACAACAACATTCCCTGAAACTTACTTCAATTCCAAGATCAAGTTCAAAAAGCCTTACAGACATAATATCATGGTTATCTGATAAGTCCCCTGTAGTAGCTGATGCTCCAATATAATATCCTGTAGGTAACTTCACACCTTTCACTTGAAAACATTCCTTCCAAGCAGCCTTATTCTCTAAATCAGTAGATACTACAATGAAAAAAAAAATTATAAAATAACTGTAAGTATGTATCTACAGGATGGGTGTAAAGAAATGCCCAAATTGTCACTGTATGTTCAGAAGCCAAAAATAATATTAGTTTACTTCGCAAAATGGGTCTTATATCGCTCATTTCTGAGCTACAGGATGTTAAATTTTTAAATTACTTTATTTATTAAACATAACTTTGTTTATAAATCAGTCATTATTCTATATATCTGCTTGAATATTGTGGTACAACTATTGAAATAAAGAAATCAGTGATTACTTCGTCACTTATTAATTTACAATATACCTATATATGTTTAATAGAGAATAGAGATATATACATTTTTGTAAAAAACGGTACACTTATTTGACTTCAAAATATACTTATTTCAAGATATTTTAATATTACTAAATCCCCTTTAATACACCCCTAATTGAAACAAATTCATAAAAATGTTTAAATATTCAGTTGCATAAATGGATATAAACAATATATACAAAGGATCTAATACTTATGGTATCAGTTTGCTATGGAAAATTATATTATCAGCCATATAATCTTGAGTAAAAATTTGACATTTGTGGAGCAGTTTGTTCTACTGTTTGTTATTGATGCTGAGACATCATATAATGACTTTTCAATTAAAAAAATGCATCTAGAAAATATTGGTGGTTATACTGAAACCAAATTCAGAGAACTGTAAGGTATTTTGAAATATTGGAAACAGAGTGTCCCAAAAACTATTAACCCCGAGCAGAAATATGACATGTTCGTTAACCTAGCAGAAAATTATACAAAAAACACATGAATTATTTGAAAATACTGAAATTAACAGTTAGCAGAATGTTGTATAAAAACAATTTTTACCTGTACTCTTTTAAACCAGTGCAAAATTTCTGTCAAAGAACTTATCCAACTAGATGTATGTCTAAAAATGTTCAGTGTCTACCAAGGAAAAATAACTATGGAACAGATTTGCATAAAATTATTTTTAATGCCAGGGTAACTTTCATAGGTGAACTTTTTAACTGGTGAAATAGTCATGCTGGGAAGCCACAAAACACACAAATTTAAAATAGTTGGTGCTATATGGAAGTAACATTATGGAAATAGAAGATCTTCCTTATTTTTAAAGGAAGCTTGTTGGGATAAAAATAAAAAGGATAAAAATGTTGGTCATACAAGTTGATGCTCCAACACATTTTCCACTGGCTGTATGCAACTTTCTAAATGAAACTCTATCTCATCATTGGACTAGTCTGGGTAGTGGGATTTCAGTGGCCAACTTAAAGCCCCTAAATAGTCCACTGAATGTTTATTTGTGGATTTATATGAAAGATACAGATATTCTACACCTATAAATATATGAGATGAATTCTAGAATAGAATTCAAAATGTAGCCAATTAGAAATAATAGTGTGATGTTTTTTTTAACAACTTCACTATCTAATGAGTGATATATTATTCAAAGAAGCAAAATGTGTCTCTAATACATATATGTCCATGAATCAAACGTGATTCAAGAATAGATATTTTAATGTTAAAATAATGTTGGATATAGTACACTCCAGATATACACTTCATCTAATTTATACAACGATGCACGTCATCGGCGTCATAGCCTGTGACGTCATATGATACCAACACGAAATATTTAGGGTTTAGGTGTGTTCTTTTTAGAATCACTTTACCGAGTACACTGGCATTACAGCCACTAGGCATATTTTATTATATACGCGTAGAAATAATATTTAAAAATTTCTATTAATGTTAACTTAAAGAAATACACAATAATATGTTTCATTTAATTTGTATAAATCCATTATAGAGTTTTTATCACGAACATTTGTTCAGAACACACTGTAACTGTAATCGAACGAAGGTAAAATTTTGGCATAAATTGGTAACACTTATTTGACAGTTGAGGTGTTGACACTTTTTGTACTTTATTATTTTGAATTTTAAAGTGAATACCTCTTGTTTTATATTTTTACCTATTTAATAAAATCTGTTCTTTTTAGAACAAAATTAGTGTGTTTTATTTCAAAAATGTCACGTAAGAATTTAAATACTTGTTGTAAAGAGATGGTAATACTTTTGCAATAATTATCTGACCTATTTGATTTAAAATGGAGTCAGGATTTTTTTATACTTTGGCAAGTATGTCAACTTCGATCTCTGACGTAGATAATGACGTAAGTCGTTATCTAAATTAGATGAAGTATATGTCACAGCGATCAAGACAGTGAAGATATTATACTTAACAGTTGATGGTGGACATGTCAAAAATATTTTGAAGCAATCTACAACATTTAGAGATTATGTTTATGTATAGTATTTTATATGAAGTTGAAACTATTTTTATCTAACAATCTTTTTTACATGGGTGATCAGCCAATTCCAAGTTTGTAACGACAATATTTTGCCTACCATAGGGGCATTAATATAAGGGGTAGAAAATTGGGGAAAGAAACTAAGGGGGTGGAGATAAGGCAAGCAAAATAATCGCTACTTATGCGAACGGCACTCAGGGTTTCGTAGGCGAGCTGGGGTCGTGGATAAGTAAAAGATAAGGGCATTGGAATGGGGAACTACAAAAAAATGAAATAAAGGGCTCTTGGAATCAACAAAATAAAAATAAACAAGAAACACCTCAAGGAATTTAATATAGGGCGCCACTTGAGGTGCCTAATTATGCCTATTACAACCACTAGTTGTAACTAGGGAAATAATTAGAAAACAAAATCAAAACATAAAAAACATATCTTTTTCAAATAAACCTAAAAAGGGTTAGCTCAAAAAAAAATAAAATGTTAAGACAACAAAATTTAACATTTATTTATGTGTCACCACAAACAGTTACACAAATACAGATAATAATAACAACATACACGAACAACTTACAATGGTGCTATCAGTTTACAGCAAACTCTAGACGTTGGGGACAATATTTGGGAGACATTTTGTAGCGGTTCCAACAACTAGTCGTAACTATTTAAATACTTATTATAAATCAAAATATCTTTTTAAATGGATCTTACTCACTGAGATTAACTTTTTTTAAAAACAAAAAAAAACAAATTCAAAATTTATGGTTATGCATGTACCCAATGTCCGGAGAAAATAATGCTAACTGTCATACGCCAAGATTAAATATTAAAACTTTATAAGAATAATTAATATGACAGTTAGCCAATTCCTAAAATTAATAATAATCAAAATGTCCATTTTTACTTTAAAAATTTTAACAAAAAAAAATACCTGATATCACTGACTATTGTATCTCCTTTAAAAGTTTTGGCGTTGGAATTGGACTCTAAAATACAGCAAAACAAACAAATGAGTCTCACAAGCTGCAAAATGTTCTGGAGTGACTAACGACAACAAATAGATGATGAAAGCTGGGCACTAGATTATCTTGTCGCAATCTTCATGGCTTAGCTTTTCAAAAACTCAGGCTCTTGCTCGAAACCATATGGACATCTTTTAAACTGATCGAAACGCCGTGTTTCAAATCCCTCAGATAAAACACAGCACGAACAAAATCGGCGAGTAACTCAGACAAAAACTGACACATTACATCTGAGTATAAAATTCACCTCTTCATAAAAAATTGTTGGTTCCTTGAAGAATACACACCCAGGCTCTTTTCCCGTCAAGATCTTAAACCAACCTCAAACTGTAACTATACATGTTACCAAACTTCACTATTTCTAATAACAAAAATAAAACAATAACCAAACACCATTACGAATTTGACGAAAATTCGGACTAAACAAACGAAACCAACTGCCCTTGACAGCGGTTCCACCGATAGTGACGAAATTAAAAATTTGTTCGCTTAACTTGAAAATCAACGAACTGCTGAAATAGCAAAACCAAACGAACGACGTAGATATCCTTTGAAACGCATTTACATGAAAAGAAATCGCCGCAGTAAAATAAACAACAATTAAATGGATTTATTACTCTACGACGTTAGAATGATTGAAAACACTTTTCGAAAGATACGAACTAAAAAACAGAAAACATTCTTCGTTTTATTAAGACGATTTCATATACGAGGCGACTTTAAATATACTTCAAAGAATCAATCAAATTTAAAATGCTACAATACCCCCACGTAAGAGCGAAAACTGGACTAACAGGAAAGTTTTCGTTTAGGGCGAACAACAATCAGGTTGGAACAACAGTAGCATTTTTTAACTACTGCAACAACACATAATGACTTCAATAACTCAAACAGAACAAAAAACAACAAACAAAAATCATAACCAAAACTACACATCATAACTGTTTATGGTTCTAACATAATAACATACAAAATAAAACTGGATGCTCGATTTGACGAATCGGCACCAGGTACAGTTCGTTGGCTCTTAAGCACAACGACACAATGGCAGATTTCTACTAAAATGGCTCTAGCCTAACCAAAAACGTGGAACAGACCAGTGTTGAAGTTTCTGGGAGCGAAAAGAGGGGTGCTTCCAGCTCAACAAAGGCGGGTGGCCAACAACACAGCTTAGACAAGCTTCGCTATGGTTATCCACATAATAGATAACCAAAACAATATCAAAAAATAACAAACTTGACTATAACAGTCAAGCAATGAATTTTCAACCACTGGTTGAAAATTAAACCAACACAAAAGAAGAAAACAGGATGGCCAATAGTTCCATAGAAATATCCTCTGGGATCGACACAGCGAAAAATTTCCAAGTCAGGAAACTCCAAAAAGGACAAAAGAAGAAAATAAATCCAAAATGCTAATACACAATCTTGGAAAAGAAGAAAGAACAGGGGCACATGGCATACAAGCCATAATCAATACACAATCAGTTCAGTCTCAAACTAAATACTTCCTGAAGAAACAAAAAAAACTCGTAACAGTCTTCCAAAGAAAACAAAAAAGTTACGACAACACTTCAAAAGAAACAAAAACATCATTACAGATCTCCAAGGGAACATAAGAAACACTATAATCTTCCAAAAGAACAAAAA